CCCCCCCCCCGAGAAAAAAATGTAACAACTGTAGATGAAACTCTGGATACCCTCCCTGAAGCTGTTCCCCTCACTCTTACTTCAGAGGTAACCAGTATCCTGATTCTGGTACTTACTTCCATGCATGTTTTATATTTTCTACATGTACATGTAGCTACGTGTGCACATTACGTGTGTACTTCTATATGCAAAAATGTGTATATAAACTGTATATGAACAGAAATACATATACTTGTAAACATATATAGTATTTTTAAATGTTTTGATGCTGTATAAATTATATTGCTGTATGATTCTTTTGCACCTTGCCTTTCTTTTTTTTCCCCATTACATTTTTGGGATTTATCCATGTTGGCACATGTAGCTCTAGTCCACTCATTTTAACACTTATATCTTTCATTGTATGACTTGTCCAAAATTCATTTATCTACTGTCCTCCATCAGTGGACATCAAGGCTTCTAGTTTTTCACTGTTACAAATAGCATTGCCTCGAACATACTTGAATCCTTCTGTGTTCATATATAGGAACGTATATAGGAACTATAGAGAATAGACTTAGGCGTGGTTGCCCATCTTACTGTTCAGAAGGCAGGAGTGCAACCAGTTTGTACTCCTACCAGAAATACATGAGAATTCTTCCTTCTCTACATCCTTACTGACATTTGGTGCCTGGCTGATGGCGTGATGTCGCAACACAGTAGCTCACATGTTCCTTTTAAAATGTTACATCACGCCTCTGCTCAGAACCTGCAGTGGCTCTCTATTTCATGCAAAGGAAAAGCCTGTGTTGCCTAATGTGACAAGGCCCCGTCACCCTGCACACCCCTCTCCTACGCTGCCCCTCGCTCATTGTGCTTCAGCCCCACTGACCTCCCTGTTCCTTGACCATGGCAGGCATCCTGCCTCCTGTTCTTCGCTTTATTTGATCCTTCCACCTGGAATATTCTTTTTTTTATATATTTATTTATTTTTGAGAGAGAGAGACAGTGTGAGAGGGGAAGGAGCAGAGAGAGAGGGCTACAGAGGACCCAAAGTGGGCTCCACATGGTCAGTGCAGAGCTCGATGTGGGGCTTGAACCCACGAACTGTGAGATCATGACCTGAGCTGAAACCAAGAGTTGGACGTTTAACCAACTGAGCCACCTGAGTGCCCCTCTTCCTGGAACATTCTTCCTTCAGATCTCCACTGAGCAAACTCCTTGACTTGTCTCCAGTCTGTGCTCAGATCTTACTTTTCAGAGAGGCCTGACCTGACTATCATGTTTAATAGTGCAGTTTGCCTTTCCACTGTCCCCTCCTCCCACACTACTGTCCCATCCCTTACCTTCCTCAACTTGGTCCACAGCATTCATCACCCTCTGACGTCCTATAGAATTTACTTTCTGTTTATCTATTGTCTGACCACCTCTTCTAGAATGTAAACTCCACAAGGGGAGGGGTTTTTGTTTGGTTCTAATATATCCCAAGCAGTTGGAACAGATAGTGCTTGGCAGGTACTCAATAAATACTAGTTGGGTTAATGAATGAATAGTATTTTGTTGTTTTTAACTTACATTTCCCTGATTGGTTCTGGGTTAAATCTTTTCAGATTTTTTTTTGGGTGGGGGAGGCATTCTGTGAATTGTCTGTATCCTATCTCCCTTCCTTTCCTCCATTTTTTTTTATTGCTTTGTGGCAGTTCTTTATATTTTCTGTATTAACTCTTTGTTATTTTACTATAAAGTAAGCTAGAAAAAAGAAAATGTTATTAAGAAAATTGTAAGGAAGAGAAAATACTTTTACAGTGCTGGACCAACTTTACCAAAAAATTCTGTGCATGACTGGGCCTTCACAGGTCAAACCCTTGTTCAAGTGTCAACTATAGTCAGGTTTTTTGATCTTTTACTTTATGATTTGTGTTTTTCCAACCTTTGGAAAATACAAGGCCCTTCTCAGTCTTGATTCCATCTTTGCAGAGGCAACTTTAATATCTTTTTTGTGTTTTTCACTGGTATTTATTTTCATATTCCTAAATAGGATGCTTATTCTGCTAATTTTCCCCCAATTTCAGGTATTACTTCTTGACTGTCTCCTGAGGGAGACGGGACCATGCACACATTTAGCAGTCTGTAATTCTCTCATTATAGTTAAATCAGTTCTTTTGCATATTGATACAATATTTCAATATCCTACCCATGTAAATACTACCTGTAACCTGTATGATTACATGTCTTTTATTTTACAACTTCTAATTTTCTCTGGAATTAATAATGCCTCATTTTGCATGTGCTGCCTTTCTACCTATTGAACACCAGTCTACCCACAGTCTCCCTGTTAGAAATGTAAAACTGTATGTTCAAATGTATCAGGTATGCTATCAGTTTCATAGTTCCCTTGGAGGAAGCCTGCAGAAACTTCTGCTCCAGTGTGAATGGGCTTCCCTCCAGGCCTGCCACACGGCTATCGTCCTAAGAACCTTCTTTGACTATCACTCTGGAATTCCTTTTCTCTTTCCTGAACCCCACACCATTCTCTTCCTAGGTTTACCCCCTTCGATTTGATGGAGAACATCTTCCAGTATCTTCCAGAGAACATATTCTTGGGAGCTTAATTTTTTGAAAGTTTGCCTGAAAATGTCTGAAAATGTCTCTATTCCTCTCCTACATCCAGATCATGGGATGGCCGGATTCCCCATTAGAAATGATTTTACCATTGAATTTTGAAGACTGAATTTTCTAGTTAGCTTGCCATGTTGCTACTGAGAAATTGGATGCCATTGTGATATTTTATCCTTGGTGTGTGATGTTTGTTCGAAAGCCTTTAGACTCTCTTCTTTATTCCTGCTAGTATGAAGTTTCAGAATGGGTGCAGCTTAGTGTGAAGGAGGCTTTTTTTTTTTGTTTTTTGTTTTTGTTTTTTTGCATTCATTGTTGAGTAGTAGGTGGGTCCTTGTAACATAGACACCCACACTTTGAATTCCGAGAAATTAAAAAAAAAATTTTTTTTTAATGTTTATTGATTTCTGAGAGTGAGAGAGACAGAGCATGAGTGGAGGAGGGGCAGAGAGAGAAGGAGACACAGAATCCGAAGCAGGCTCCAGGCTCTGAGCTGTCAGCACAAAGCCCAACCCTGGGCTTGAACCCACAAACCTCGAGATCACGACCTGAGCCAGAGTCAGACGCTTAATTGACTGAGCCACCCAGGTGCCCAAGAAATTTTTTATGGTATTGTTTTATCTGTCTGTCTTTCGATCTATCTATTTTTATCTCATTATTTTTTTCCTGTTTTCTTTCTGGGATTTCTGTTCATTGGATGTTGGAACTCATGGACTGATCGCATCAGGTTCTTCTCTGCCCCTTCTCATTTCTTTATCTTTTGTTTCACATTCTGGGAGATCTCCTTAGCTTTGTTTTCCAGCTGTTAATACTGAAATATTTCTGCTCTCATTGATATTTTCAGGAGCCTTTTCTTGTTCTTTAAATATTCCTTTTCTTGTAGCCTCCTTGTTTCCTGGATGGAATATCTTGTCTTATTTACCTGAGAATGTTAACTGTAGATCATTAGATTTTCTGTTTTACACATTGCATGTTTCCTCAGCACTTATATTCGAGGTTTTCCTGAAATGTTGGTAACTTTTCACTTTCCATTTGTTTTTGTTTTTTTAATTTTTTTTAACGTTTATTTATTTTTGAGACAGAGAGAGACAGAGCATGAACAGGGGAGGGTCAGAGAGAGGGAGACACAGAATCTGAAACAGGCTCCAGGCTCCGAACTGTCAGCACAGAGCCCGACGCGGGGCTCTAACTCACAGACCGCGAGATTATGACCTGAGCCGAAGTCGGATGCTTAACCGACTGAGCCACCCAGGCGCCCCTTCACTTTCCATTTGTATGTGATAGTCAAACATAAGCATTCTGACTGAAAACTCTGTATTGGGGTAGGATTGTGACCTGGTGCCTTTTATTCCCCTGACTTACTCATTCCATAACTGGAAGCCCGTACCTCCCATTTTGCCCAACCTTTTTCCCCCGCCCCTCTGGCCACCATCAGTTTGTTCTCCGTATTTATAGATCTGATTCTGCTTTTTGTATATTCTTTTTCTTTTTTTAGATTCTACATATTAGTGGAATCATATGGTGTTTGTCTTTCTCAGTCTGACCTGTTTATTTATTTGTTTTTAATTTGTTAAGTTTGTTTTTTAAAGTAGGCCCTACACCCAACATGGGCTTAAACTCACAACCTTGAGATCAGGAGTCACATGCCTACCATGAGCCAGCAGGCACCCCATGACTTATTTAGCATAATACCTTTTAGGGCCATCTGTGTTGTTTTATCCTTTTTTATGACTACATAATATTCCATCATGTATATATTATCACATTTTCTTTATTCATCTACTGATGGACCTTTAGGTTACTTCCATAGTTTGACTATTGTAAACAATGCTGCAATAAATGTAGGAGTGCATATATCTTTTTGAATTAGTGTTTTCATTTTCTTTGGGTAAATACCCAATAGTGGAAATATTGGATCATATGGTATTTCTCTTTTTAGTTTTTTGAGGAACCTCACTACTGTTTTCCATAGTGGCAGCACGAATTTACATTACATTCCCACCATCAGTGCATGAGAGTTCCTTTTTCTCCACATCCTCACCAACACTTGTTATTTCTTGTCATACTGATTTTAGGCATTCTAACCAGTATAAGGCGATATCTCCTTGTGGTTTTGATTTGCATTTCTCTGATGATTAGTGATGTTAAGCATCTTTTCATGTGTCTGTTGGCCATCTCTATGTCTTCTTTGGAAAGATGTCTTCAGGTCCTCTGCCCATTTTTTTTTAATGTTTATTTATTTTTGAGAGAGAGAGAGCATGAGTGGGGGAGGGACAGAGAGAGAGAGACACAGAATCTGAAACAGTCTCCAGGCTCTGAGCTGTCTGCACAGAGCCTGATGTGGGGCTTGAACCCATGAACTGTGAGATCATGACCTGAGCCGAAGTTGGATACTTAACCAACTGAGCCACCCAGGTGCCTCTAGGTCCTCTGTCTATTTTTAAATTGGATTGTTTATTTTGGTGTTGAGTTGTATAAGTTCTTTATATATTTTGAATATTAATCCCTTATCAGATATATCATTTGCAAATATCTTCTCTTATTAAGTAGGTTGTCTTTTTGTGTTGTTAATGGTTTCCTTTGCTATGCAGAAGCTTTTTTTTTTTTTTTAAGATTTTATTTTTGGGGTGCCTGGGTGGCTCAATTGGTTAAGCATCCAACTTCAGCTCAGGTTATGATCTCGAGAGCCAGCTCAGAGCCTGGAGCCTGCTTCAGATTCTGTGTCTCCCTCTCTATTTGCCCCTCCCCTGCTCGCACTCTGTCTCTGTCTCTCTCAAAAATAAATAAAACATTTCAAATATTTTTTTTTATTAAAAACAAAAGATTTTATTTTTATCTAGACTCTACACCCATCATGGGGCTCGAACCCACAACCCTGAGATCAAGAGTCACACGCTCCGCCAACTGAGCCAGCCACATGCCCCCTGCAAAAGTTTTTTTTTTTTTTTGATGTAGTCCCAATATCTTATTTTTGCTTTTGTTTCTTTTGCCTTAGGAGACATATGTAGAAAATAGCTGACGTCAGAGAAATTACTGCCTATGCTCTCTTCTAGGAGTTTTATGGTTTCGGGTCTCACATTTAGGTTTCTAATCCATTTTCAGTTTATTTTTGTGTATGGTGTTAGAAAGTGATCTGGTTTCATTCTTTTACATGTAGCTATCCAGTTTTTCCAACATAGTTTATTGAAAAGACTGTATTTTCCCTATTGTATATTCTTGCCTCCTTTGTCATTGATTGACCATATAATTGTGGGCTTATTTCTGGGCTGTCTATTCTGTTACATTGATCTGTGTCTATTTTTATTCCTGTACCATACTATTTTGATTACTACAGATTTGTAGTATATCTTTTTTTCTTTTTAAAATTTTATTTTAAAAAAAAATTTTTTTTTTCAACGTTTTATTTATTTTTGGGACAGAGAGAGACAGAGCATGAACGGGGGAGGAGCAGAGAGAGAGGGAGACACAGAATCGGAAACAGGCTCCAGGCTCTGAGCCATCAGCCCAGAGCCCGACGCGGGGCTCGAACTCACGGACTGCGAGATCGCGACCTGGCTGAAGTCGGACGCTTAACCGACTGCGCCACCCAGGCGCCCCTAAAATTTTATTTTTAAGTGATCTTTGCACCCATTAATAGCCCCAAGATTAAGAGTTGCATGCTCCACCAACTGAGCCTGCCAGGCATCCCTGTAGTATATCTTGAAACTGGTATTGTGATACCTCTGGCTTTGTTCTTTCTCAAGATTGCCTTGGCTATCAGGTGCTGTTTGGGGGAATTTCCATATGTCAGGCCTGGGCTTGCAAATTTTACCATAGAGAGATTTATTCAACAAATATTTTTATTGAGTGTCTGCAATAAGCCAGATGCTGTTCTTTTTTTTCTTTTAATGTTTATTCATTTTTGAGAGAGAGGGAGAGCCTGAGTGGGGGAAGGGTAGAGAGAGGGGAGGACAGAGGATCTGAAGAAGGCTTTCTTTCTGCTGACAGCACAGAACCCGATGCAGGGCTCAAACTCACGAACTGAGAGATCATGACCTGAGCTGAAGTCAGACGCTTAACTGACTGAGCCACCCAGGCACCCCAGCCAGGTGCTATTCTAAGTGCTGGGGACGCATTAGGGAACAAAACCTATGAATCCCCTGTCACAAAAATCCCCGCCCTTTCTTGGAGCTCATGGTTTGGGACGTGAGCAGAGAACAGCACTGAGGTTCTACCAATTGTGTGTCTGTTTTCACTTGATTCTCCTGATGTGAAAGTGGTCCCTGTCCCCTGTTCTCAGTTGTACCTGGTGTCCCCAGTCCAGAATTTATGTGGTTCAGTCTCCCTGGGGAGTAAACTGCAAAAATTCTGGATTTGGGGTGGAATCTGGTGGCTTACCTGCTCCTTTATATAAAGACTTGCAGTCAGTCCTAGATTTGTCTCCCACTCCAGACATTGGAGGCATGGGGTGTGTCTGTTACTATAACCTATCACATGAATACAATTTCTCTTGTTAAACCATCCTCCATGGGGTACAGGCTGTCGTGCCCTTCTTGACACCCCTTCCTGATATTGTGTCTTCTGCAACGGTGGAGTGGGGCAGGGGGAAAGAGATGGGTGTGTGGGTATAGGCACAAGTGTAAAAGGAAAGAATGGGGTTTGTACAGGTAAATATGAGTACATTTGGCAGGTTAATTAAAATCATTTAACTTGAAGGGCTCCTGGGTGGCTCAGTTGGTTAAGGGTCTGGCTTCGGCTCAGGTCATGATCTCGCGGTCTGTGAGTTCGAGCCCCACGTCAGGCTTTCTGCTGACAGCTCAGAGCCTGGAGCCTGTTTCAGATTCTGTGTCTCCCTCTCTCTCTGTCTCTCCCTGCTCTCGCTCTTTCTCCCTCTCTCAAAAATAAACATTACAATTAAAAAAAATAAAATCATTTATCTTGAGGAGTGGTTCATTGAGAAAGTTAAAAAGGTTTGGGAGGGTGCTTATTTTTTTGCAGGCACTTGCTTATTTTACTCTTGCACCAGCATGAAATGTCACCCTTTTTTCTTTCTTTTTTTTTTTT